TGGCCTCCCAGTGGAGGATCCAAGATGGCTGCCAAATATGGCTGAACTACTAAATATCCAAGATGGCTTCCCAGTGAAGGATTCAAGATGGCTGCCCAATATGGCTGACCTAGTGAATATTCAAGATGGCCTCCCAGTGGAGGATTCAAGATGGCTGCCCAATATGGCTGACCTAGTGAATATTCAAGATGGCCTCCCAGTGGAGGATCCAAGATGGCTGCCCAATAGGGCCACCATAGTGAATATTCAAGATGGCCTCCCAGTGGAGGATCCAAGATGGCTGCCCAATATGGCTGAAGTAATAAATATCCAAGATGGTTTCCCAGTGGAATATTCAAGATGGCCTCCCAGGGGAGGATTCAAGATGGCTGCCAAATATGGCTGACCTGGTGAATATTCAAGATGGCCTCCCAGTGGAGGATTCAAGATGGCTGCCCAATATGGCTGACCTAGTGAATATTCAAGATGGCCTCCCAGTGGAGGATCCAAGATGGCTGCCCAATATGGCCACCATAGTGAATATTCAAGATGGCCGCCCAATACGGCTGACCTAGTGAATATCCAAGATGGCCGACCAATAGGAAATCCAAGATGGCCTCCCAGTGGAATATTCAAGATGGCTGCCCAGTGGAGGATTCAAGATGGCCACCCAATATGGCCACCCCAGAAAGTATCCAAGATGGCTGCCCACTGGGAGGCCATCTTGGATACTCATTAGTTTAGCCATATTGGGCAGCCATCTTGAATATTCATTAGGTCAGCCATATTAGGCGGCCATTTTGGATCCTCCACTGGGAGGCCATCTTGGATACTCATTAATTCAGCCATATTGGGCAGCCATCTTGGATATTTTGGGGCAGCCATATTGGGTGGCCATCTTGGATCCTCCACTGGGAGGCCATCTTAGATAGTAACCAGGGCAGCCATGTTGGGGGGTCATCTTGGATAGTCACCAGGGCAGCCATATTGGGTGGCCATCTTGGATACTACCCGGGGCAGCCATCTTGGTGGCCATCTCGAATAGTCACATGACCATATTAGCCAGGCGGCCATATTGGTGGCCATATTGCTCACGCCATTCCACAGCCATCCTGGCGGCCATCTTGAATAGTCACATGGCCATATTGCCCAGGCGGCCATATTGGCAGCCATATTGCTCACTCCACTTGACGGCCATCTTGGCGGCCATCTTGAATAGTCACATGGCCATATTGCCCAGGCGGCCATATTGGCAGCCATATTGCTCACTCCACTTGGCGGCCATCTTGGCAGCCATCTTGGTGGCCATCTTGAATAGTCACATGGCCATATTGCCCAGGCGGCCATATTGGCAGCCATATTGCTCACTCCACTTGACGGCCATCTTGGCGGCCATCTTGGCGGCCATCTTGAATAGTCACATGGTCATATTGCCCATGCGGCCATATTGGCAGCCATATTGCTCATGCCATTCTACAGCCATCCTGGTGGCCATCTTGAATAGTCACATGGCCATATTGCCCAGGCAGCCATATTGGCAGCCATATTGCTCACTCCACTTGGCGGCCATCTTGGCAGCCATCTTGGTGGCCATCTTGAATAGTCACATGGTCATATTGCCCAGGCGGCCATATTGGCGGCCATATTGCTCACTCCACTTGACGGCCATCTTGGTGGCCATCTTGGCAGGCATCTTGGCTGCCATCTTGAATAGTCACATGGCCATATTGCCCAGGCGGCCATATTGGCAGCCATATTGCTCACTCCACTTGACGGCCATCTTGGCGGCCATCTTGGCGGCCATCTTGGCCGGCCACCTCCAGTTGTACAACCGCCTCGAGGAGGCCGATTTTGACCTCGGGGGGTGGGACCCCGAGGCCTGGGGTGGGGAGGGAAGGGTAGGGGAGGGTCTGACCCGGGAAGAGGACGCGGGCGGCCATGCCGGGCAGGACCATGAGGAACATGGGCAGCACTTTGAGGTACCCGCACACGACGCAGCCGGCCCGCACGTGGGTCAGGGAGCGGCCGGCCAGGCAGCGCTGCACGATCACCTGCGGGGGGGGGTGTGAGAGGGGCTCCCAGTGCTCCCAGTGCCATCCCAGTGCCTCCCAGTTATGTCCCAGTGCCTCCCAGTGCCATCCCAGTGCCTCCCAGTGACTCCCAGTTATGTCCCAGTGCTCCCAGTGCCATCCCGGTGCCACACCAGTGCCTCCCAGTGCCCCTCCAGTGCCTCCCAGTTATGTCCCAGTGCTCCTAATGCCACACCAGTGCCATCCCAGTGCGTCCCAGTGCCTCCCACTCCCCTCCCAGTGCCCCCCAATCCCCTCCCAGTGCCCCAAATCCCCCCCAATCCCCTCCCAGTCCCTCCCAGCCCCTCCCA